ATTGTGTATTCCTATTAACAAGTATTTATTGAGTTCTTTTGCAAATAAAATATTGTGCTTGGTGGTAAGGAATAGCCAAGGAAATTAAGATGCAATCCCTTCCCTGAGAAGCCAAAGTCACAAATACAAGGTGAAGATTAGTCAACTAAAGGGTGGGGGTCAGTAGTAAAAGGACAGAAATGGATAATATTTGGAAATAATTAGCCCCCAAAAACAACAAGGAGCTTTAGTGTTCTGGTGTGTGATACTTCTAAATACTAGATCAGTAGTGCTTTTTAAGTTGAGATATAATTGACATATATTACTTTCCGGTGCATAACACGATTCAATATATGTATATATTGCAAGATGATCAGCACAATAAGTCTAGTTAACATCCATCAACATACATAGTTAAAATATTTTTCTTGTGATAAGAACACTTAAAATCTAATTTCAGCCACTTTCAAATATGCAACACAGTATTATTAACTATAGTCACCATGCTGTGCATTACATCCCCAGAACTTATTTATTTTATAACTGAAAATTTGTACCTGTTTACTGCCTTTACCCATTTCACCTATGCCTAAACTATATGGATTTTGATACAAAGAAAGCAAAGAATAGTTTTGATCCAACATAACATCAAAATGAAAATAGTAATTAAATCTGTATGTTTAGTTGCAAAGAAATTTATTATCTTAAAAAATAAAATTTATTCTGCTGCAATCTTTTAGCTCTTTTAGAGTTGTAGGGTACTAGACTTCTTTACACAACAAGGTGGTCAAGCTGCTGCACTCCACAGAAGAGAACTGGGAGACAATTTTTCACAGGTGTCTCACTTTTCTGTCTTTTGAGTAGAGGCACTGTCTTATATTTGACTACCTTTTTAAGGATGTTTGTATAATGAACAGCCTTGCAAGACAGAGATAGTGTCTCCCTCTGAGCAGTGGCAAGTTTCTTCAGGGTCTAATATAATAAAGCTTATGTCTTCCTCTGAAAGAAAAGTCAAGCAGGTTTGCTAGAAGCTCATTATAATAAAAGGGTTCCCCTAGCTTTGGGTTCCTCAGTGTTAGTACACAGTGTAAATCCACTGTGTACATATCTAACTAGACCACTCCATATCTTAGAGGATGGGGATATTTGAAATCAACACAAACATGAAACTCACACTGCATGATGTGCCATTAGCAAGAAAGTCTTTTGTTTCTGACCCAAGAATCTTTTGTCTTCTGACAGCACACATGAAACTGTGGTACGCTAAACCTCTAGTTTGCAAGTAAGGTAAAAATCCCAGACCCTTCACAGTTTTTTTTTTTTTCCTTTTAATTGAGGTATAACTGACATACAACATTATTTTAGTTTCAGGTATACAACATAGTTATTCAACATTTGCATGTATTGCAAAATGATCACTACAATAAGTCTAATTAACATTCATCACCATACATAGTTATACCTTCACAGTTCTTGACAATAAAATCTGTTTCTCACCCATCACTGTCTATTCTAGGATCAATTTTGGTAGATTATGGCACTTAGTAGCCATTTTCACTCTCTACTTGCAATCTGGGGACTATTCAAAATTTTGACAATTTATACGAAATGGGTTTTCATTCTGGTCCTATAGTAAGATAAACAACTGTGTGATTTAAATTTCTAAATAATAGAATGGAAATAGCAAAGCAGCAATAAAACTAGATCATTTGCTTTTCCTTTCCTTCCATTTTCATTCCTGTGAGGTAGAAATGCATTATAGAATTGAATCCATACATTTAACTAAAGTATATTTAATTACAATTGAGCATATTTTAAGCTCATAAGTAAGCATGTAGGAAGTCCATACTACACACAATTTATTGACATTTGAATATTTTTTAACACTAGCATATAAGATAGTGATATAATTTGCTTAAAAAGGTCAGAATAGAGGGGTGCCTGGGTGGCTCAGTCATTAAGCGTCTGCCTTTGGCTCAGGTCACAATCCCAGGGTCCTGGAATTGAGCCCCACACTGGGCTCCCTGCTCCGTGGGAAGCCTGTTCTCCCTCTCACAGTCTCCCTGCTTGTGTTCCCTCTCTTGCTATGTCTCTGTCAAATAATTAAATAAAATCTTTTTTTAAAAGTCAGAATAGTTTTTGTTTGCTAAAGAATTAGCAGAACAGCTTTAAAATTTAAAAATGCATTACTCACTATATTGGAATGGCTAAAATTAAAAAAAAAAACTGATAATACCAAGTGTTAGAGAACATGTGGAACATTCTCAGCCATGGCTGATGGGAATGCAAAATTTAAGAACCACTTTAGAAAACAGTTTGGCAAATTATTATGAAGTCAAACACATACTTACAAGATGACAAAGCCATTCTACTCCTATTTAACCTAGGTAAATTAAAACTTAATATGCAAAAATCTATACAAGAATGTTTATAGCAGCTCCATTCTTAATCACCAAAAATGGAACCCCAATTGTCTTTCAAAGAGTGTATGGGTAAACTATGGCACATACAAACAATGAAATAGTCAGCAATAAAAGGACACAACAACATGGACAAATTCTACAAAGTATTATGCTGAGTAAAAGAAGCCAGTTTCAAAAGATCCCATGCTATATGATACCATTTGTTGAACATTATGGAAAAAACAAAACTATAGGGATGGAATGCTTAATTTCCAGTGATTGCTGGGTTAAAGTTAGGGGTCAGGGATGGATTTGACAACAAAGGGACAGTACTAAGGGAATGATGTGAAGGTGAAGGAACTGTTAGGTGAACAAACGGATTGTCCTAGTGGTTCCCTGAATCCATAAATGTGCTAAATTCATAAAATTTTACATCAAAAAAAAGAGTTAATTGTATTATATGCAAATTTTAAAACAAACAAATGCACTACTTCCTAAGCATGAGTATAAGCTGCCTTTTTCTTCTACTTCCATATACCCTAACCCTAGACTTGAAAAAGACTACTTTATGTGAAGAGAAAGATGGAACAGATTAAAAGAATGGCTTTGAGGTGGAAATTAAAGGAGTTTTTTAGAGCAAATGAACATTTATCTCAAAAGGCTGGATTATGAGATAATGATCTATAATTTTAGAGAAAGGCAAAGCAAAAAGGTACTGAAGAGGAGACCAAGTAGACCTTAAAATTAAAGAATGGATTGTCTCCCTAGTATTCATTTCTATTCTATAGTACCATAACATAATAATTATATTTTCATTTAATTTGTTTTTTTGTGTTTTGGCTACTTACAAAACAATTGAAGAAAAAAATTTAATTTTAAGAAGATATAAACCTATTTTTATTTCAGTATTCTAAACTAAAACAAAAGGGATTAATCAGTTGGCTACAGTTTCTGCATCAAAAGTTCTAAATCATGAAAAATTTCTTAAAAGTCTGATAGAATCTAATATTAGGGTTAAACCTAAAGGGAAATTAATATATTTAAGGAAATGATATTCTACATATTTAATACTTTGCTCTTATCTGTGCTTGCCTGTTTTTCTCCCACTGCATACTCCCCTTCTGCCTTTTATTGCTTCTTCCCTTTTCTTCCCAATCTGCCACGCCCTTTTCATCCTCAGTGCCTTTTAGAAATTTGGGGCAAACCTAAGTTATCAAACTGCTTTTAGGAATGACTACATACAATATAATTCATTTTAAAGACTGTGAATTAAAACATAGTTAATGGTCAAATTCAGATATTGTGGTACTCTCTAAAACATGACAATAGGGAATATATGTAGTCTAATGGGATGTTTAACATGTATCAAATTAAAATATGAACACCAATTTACATTCACATTTTAAAACGTATGTTATTTAAATAAAACTTTTTTAATATATCTATTACTTAGAATTTAATAAAGTAAAAAATATTAGATTTTATAAAATACAAATACATTAACAAAAAATAGGGCCCTAACCAGTCTGTGAATATATTTTTTTGGCCAAATTAGTAGGAATTCTGCAGCTTATTAAATGTATGCCCTGAGTTCCAGATACTTAATTGTCCAAGAAAAGAATAACTTCCCCATTTTGGGCCTTTGTGCTAAGATTATGTAAATAAGTCATTTAATGAGATGGAATTGTAGAAATAAGGTATTTGAGAAAACAATAGCCCTGCTCTTTACAGTTATTGACCAACCGATTGTCTTCCCTTTTTTTTTTTTTGGTCCATTTATGAAACAAGAATGACCTTCTGGTAAGCTCTGAAATGATGGTGTAAGCCACATGCCTATGGAAAAACAGTTCTATAAAATGCTTCCTGAGGCAAATGAATCAATATTACCTTTTTGCTGTTTTGGTTACTCACCTAATAAAGATGGCCAAAACTGAAACTTGGAAAAGAGGTTGGTGAGTAGAAAATGGAATGCCTTATATTTGGAAAACTGAAAGGGTGAGTGATGGCAACTCCCCCTTCCAAAAACATTCTCTGCATTACAAAATATCTATTTGTTTATTTTCACCTTTTAGAACTATACTCAATGTCAAAAAAAAAAAAAAACCACTTTAAAACTTCCAATATCATTTTAACAAACTCCATAAGTATCCAGTTTTGGAATTTGGGGGTACTAATTAAGCAATTATTGAGCCATAGGGTCTTATTGCTTCAAAAGAGAGTGTAAAATAACTCACATAAGTTTCCAGACTGGAAAAAAGAAAAAGGTGGTTTTTTCTTTTCCAAAAACTAAGGCATTTACAATAACATTTTAAACCATAACTTGGTATAAATACACTTAAGACTTAATAACATGAATTTTCATAAATGAGAAAAACTATAATGTTATACTGACATTTTTCTAACATAAAAAAGTCCTTTAAATGGTTTTCATATTTTAAGTTTTAACAAATTTTTTATATACAATAGATAGATGATAATTCTGAGGTTAGCATAATGTAATGTAATTTTCCATTAAGATATAAAATTAAGCAAATATTTTCTTTTGCTCTTAGGAAAAATGAATCCTAGTTTCCCTATATGAACATATACTATTTGATATGTACATGATATAAATTATTACTATTCTTCAGTCTTTCCTGAAACTTGTTCAGCCCTGGAAAAATCTGTTTCATACTTCTTTTTGAGATTACTTAAATACATTCGTAAACTGTCTGGATCCAACTGAGAGTTTCGAGCAGTTTGAACAAGCCTAGTAGCTAGATGGTACACTGCTCTCTGTCTTTCCATCTCAGGGGTACTCCTTTGGTTTTGCTGTTATTGAAAAAATATAGATAAAAATTAAAATATGATTAGTATGACTTTGTTTTTAAATTTTGGCAATTTTCTCTTTCCTTTCATAGAAATATAGAACTCAAAGGTAACTAATTTCTTTGGATACGTCAATTCCATTCAACTAGCAAAGAACATACCAGAAAAAATAAAGAAATATTGTTTTGAAAGAATAAAATTTTTCATGAGTATTTACTTTATCATGGATTCCTATATTCTTGAAAATCACTTTTCAATGAAAAAAGATCTGCTAAATAGGTCAAATTTCTCACTCAACATAATTGCTCATTGCTATTCAGTATTCATTTTAAATGTCACCCAAGAGTACTACTCTGCTATCTCCTACTTTAATTCCCCAATAGATAAAACTGGTAGACAGAATGGGTCAACAGTAAGTTGCTTGTCCCTCTGAGAGATTTAATGTATAGAAACTGCTAGAATCTAAGAAAATATATTGCCTGAGGAGTAGATTACATTTTGAAAATAAGTGCTATAAATATCTACTTGAAATTATGCCAATTCTTAACAATCTATAGTTATGATGCCCAAGAAATAATGTTTAAAAGGGGAATTTTCTAATATTTTAGAAGGCTTTTAGATAGTCTTTGAATTACTATTCAAAGTGATAGGAGTACAGCTGGAAAAATCTTCATTCACCTTGTTTCCTGAGCTAGATAGAAGAATTACCATTTTCAGTCTAAACTGTTAATGTAAAGTTAGTGAGTTTCCTTTTACTAAGGGAAATAAAATCCCTCCAACTCTTTCTCAATAGAAAGCAATTCAAGATATTTTTCTTCTCTCACTATAAGTAAAATGAATCCAACTCCATGAAGTAAAATAAGATTATCATATATTCACCCATCTATCTGATACATTGAATGATCAACTATCAGTTTATTATCTAAATAATACACATTTACTGAATATCTATTATCATCTATATTCCAGGCCCCCAGCCTTGTGTTTATGTCTACTGGGGATACAAAAATGTCTATATGACATGCCACTAGAACTCAAGAGGCTCAAAGAAAGAGACATATTATTATAGTGAAAGAGACATATTCATAAGCAGCTGATTTAGGTAATTATGATAAGTCTCAGGAGAGAGATTCAAAGTTTAGAGGAAGAAGAACTCATTCCCAGCTCAGGTCAAGAAAAGCTTAAGTAGGATGGAATATTTGGAATGACTCTCGATGGACAGAAGAACAGAGAAGTAAGGGCATTCTGGATGGAGGAAACAGCAAGAGCAGACACATTAGAAATCCTGGTACACAGGTCAAAATGATGAAATGACAAATAATTCAATGTGTCAGAAATGTAGGTTTAAGTTAAATTGAGAAATGTTATCTAAGGTTGGAGTAGTAAACAAAAGGGAGATCATAAAGCAGTAGTTAACAAACTTTAGTGTGTTTAAGAATCATCTGAAGACTGGTTAAAAATGTAAATTCCTAAGCCACAGGAAATCCTCAAAAATTTAGAATGGTCCCTGGCTAAGGAGTTTCACTTTAATTTCGTAAGAAACAACCAAAAGTTTCTGAACAGGAAAACATGATAAAAGTCATGCTTAGAATCTGGTATATGTATATATGATGGATTGAAAAGAGAATCTACTGCATAGTGTTAATGAGAGGTGATTAAGAAGGACTCAAAGATGATTATAATGGGTCGCTGAGAAATTTAGGAGCAAAAAAATGAGATTTTTTTCATATTATAAATTTAATTTTGGTCCTATTAAAGAATGAAAACATAAACTGAGATTTCAAGAAGAAATACAAAGAAAAATATATGGATTCAAAGTAAAAAAGAAGTGAAAATGAAAGCTGAGAAATGGATGAGCTCGCCAAGAATATAGTTTCAAACACAGAAGGAAGGGCAAAATCTTAGGGAAATTTCCATTTAATAAGTGGAATGATAAAAAGCACTGGTAAAATACACAAAAAGAAATTCAAAATGGATGAAAGACCTAAATGTGAGACAGGAAACTATCAAAATCCTAGAGAAGAACATAGGCAGCAGTTTCTTTGACCTCGGCTGCAGCAACTTCTTGCTAGATATGTTTTCAAAGGCAAGGAAAACAAAGGCAAAAATGAGCTATTGGGACTTCATTAAGATAAAAAGCTTCTGCACAGCAAAGGAAACAATCAACAAAACTAAAAGGCAGCCTACAGAATGGGAGAAGATAGCTGCTAATATATCTGATAATGCGTTAGTATCCAAAATCTATAAAGAACTTATTAAACTCAACACATAAAAAACAAGTAATACAGTTAAGAAATGGGCAGAAGACATGAGATAGACATTTCTCCAAAGATGACATCCAGATGGCTAACAGACACATAAAAAGACTCGTTATTAGGGAAATACAAATCAAAACCACGAGATACCACCTCACACTTGTCAGAATGGCTAAAATTAACCACACAGGAAACAACAGATGTTAGTGAGGATGAAGAGAAAGGGGAACCCTCTTGCACTGTTGGTGGGAATGCAAACTGGTGCAGTCACTCCAGAAAATGGTATGGAGATTCCTCAAAAAGTTAAAATAGAACTACCTGATGACCCAGGAATTACACTAGTAGGTATTTACCCAAAGGATACAAAAATACAGACTTAAGGGCTATGTGCATTATCAACAATAGCCAACTATAGAAAGAGCCCAGATGTCTATCGACAGATGAACAGATAAAGATGAGGTGGTATATATATACAATGGAATATTACTCAGCCAAAAATGAAATCTTGCCATTTGCAAGACAGATGGATGGATGGAGCTAGAGTATATTATGCTAAAGCAAAATAAATCAGTCAGAGAAAGACAAATACAATATGATTTGTGGAATTTAAGAAAGAAAGCAGATGAATATATAGGAGGGAGGGGAAAAAAAGAGAGAAGGAAACAAACCATAAGGGACTATTCACAATAGAGTAAAAACTGACAGTTGATAGAAGGACGTACGGCGGGTGGGCTAGATAGGTGATGGGTGTTAGGAGGGTGTTTGTTGTGATGAGTACTGGATATTGTAAATAAGTGGTCAATCACTGAATTCTACTCCTGAAACCAATATTGCGCTGTATAATTAACTAGAATTTAAATAAAAATTGAACAAAAAAAAAAGCACTGGTGAAAAAAGAAAAAAAGGGGTAATCGGAGGTAGGAAAATGAAGACATCCAGGAGAGGACCATTTCACAGTAGCCAAGACAGAAAAGAATTATGAAAAGGGAAAGAAGGGTAGTATCAAACACCACAGAGAGACCAGGGAAGATGAGAAGTGGAAAAAAAAAAAAAAAAAAAAAAAAAAAAGGCCATAAGAGTTAATCATTAGTTGGTATTTCACAAAGAAAGTTTCAGTGGCATGATGACAAGATCTAGTTTGCAAGTAGAAAATGGAAGAAGTAAATTGTTATTATAATCTCTTAAGAAGTTGGCAGTAAAAAAAAAAAAAAAAAAGAGAGAGAGAGAGAGAAATATATTTTGAGAAGTAAGGTAATAAAGAAGGATTTCTTAGGAAAAACCTAAGCATATTCATAGGAAAAGGAAAAGCCAGTGAACAAACACTAAGGATGCAAAGAGAAGAAGGGGAACAAAGGATACCTGGCTGGCTCAGTTGGTAGAACATATGGCTCTTGATCTCAGGATTGTAAACTCAAGCCCCATGTTTGGTATAGAAATTACTTTTAAAAAATCTTTTTAAAAAGTGGGGCACCTCACTGGCTCACATGACTATTGCTCTCAGGATTGTGAGTTCGAGCCCCATGTTGGGTATAGAAATTATTTAAAATAAAATCTTTAGGGACGCCTGGGTGGCTCAGTTGGTTAAGCAGCTGCCTTCGGCTCAGGTCATGATCCCAGCGTTCTGGGATCGAGTCCCGCATCGGGCTCCTTGCTCGGCAGGGAGCCTGCTTCTCCCTCTGCCTCTGCCTGCCACTCTGTCTGCCTGTGCTTGCTCTCTCTCTCTCTGACAAATAAATAAACAAAATCTTTAAAAAAAAAAAATAATAAAATAAAATAAAATAAAATCTTTAAAGAGAGAGAAGAAAGGAATCTGATGAAGTTACATCTTATTGGATATGGAAAGAAGGTGGAAAAGTTAGCCTTGAATAAATTGAAAGATAATCTTTTTCTCTGAGATAGAAAAGAAGAGAACACGGTGAAAAACAGATATTCCAAAATAGAGTTTTCAAGAAGTTCAAGGATTCATCAAGATAACTTCAAGTCTCTCAAAAAATATAGGAAGTGAATTTTCTGTAGAGTGAGGACATTGAGGGTAAAGTTTGGGAAGAGTAGAAAGTTTTGAGAGTTAAAAAAAACTATACAGAACAATAAAAGGGGAAAAACTATCCAATAAAATATTTGACTAAAGGTAGAATATATCAATTTGCTGTAGATAAGATTAGTTTGTCTAGAATATATTTTAAGAATCATTATCAGGAAAGCCAAAGCCTAGAAGGCAACTCAAGAAGGCTTGATATAATTGGAATCTTACAAGATGAAGACTAAGGAACTAGGTAATGAGAGATTCTTCAGAAGCCAACACTGCCAAAATTGTTGAAGAGATTCAAATGGAGGATTAGGTAAGTAAAGTCATGAAGATAGTCTAGAAACTCAAGAGACTAAAGGGATACAATAAAAATTAAAAGCAGGTTAAGAGAGAAAGACAAAGGAAACTGTTACTACTGAAGAAAATTTCATAATGCACATAGCTTAGTTTACTGAACACACTGTATTCTTAAAACATAAAGCAAACTGATGTTAAAAAAAAGATTTCCAAATTTTTAGTCAATAGATGTGAGTTCAATAGCAAAACACTTAACCTCTGTGAACCTCAGTTGCAAAAACATGAGTAAAAGTAACAGCTTATTAATCTTATACTAGAAAGACCTAACCGCTTCATGAAGTCAGGAGGCTTATATATGATAATGGATAAAAGTCTTAAATACTATTTTAAAAGATGCTAAAGTGGGGCACCTGGGTGGCTCAGTGGGTTAAAGCCTCTGCCTTCGGCTCAGGTCATGATCCCAGAGTCCTGGGATCGAGCCCCGCGTCGGACTCTCAACTCAGTGGGGAGCCTGCTTCTCTCTCTCCCTCTGCCTGCCTCTCTGCCCGCTTGTGATCTCTGTCTGTCAAATAAATAAATAAAATCTTAAAAAAAAAAAGATGCTAAAGTATGGTGCATAGTAATTTTTATTTTTTATTTTTATTTATTTTTTAGAGAGAACAAGTATGAGTGGGGCTTGGGAGAGAGGGAGAGAGAGAATCTTAATCAGGCTCTACACCCAGTGCAGAGGCCAACTTGGGACTTAATCTCACAACCCTGAGATCATGACATGAGCCGATCAAGAGTCAGATAGTTAACTGACTGAGCCACCCAGGCAACCTGTGATTTTTATTTTTTATTAACATATAATGTATTTTTTGTTTCAGGGGTACAGGTCTGTGATTCATCAGAGTGATTTTTATTTTTAATGCTTACTTTATATAGACTTATTTTTTCATCATAAAGTTAGTGTAGCAGTAAGTATTATAGGAACCAAACTGTTTAACTTTTGTCTACTAACTTACTGGCTGATTTGTTGGGAAAGGTTGAAATAGACCAAACCAAAAAAATTGTGAGAAGTAAAAAAAAGATTTGCCTTATTTAGAATTAGGTTTTTAGGGGCTTGAGTGGCTCAGTCAGTTAAGTGGCTGCCTTTGACTCAGGTCATGATCCCAAAGTCCCGGCATTGAGCCCCACATTGGGATCCCTGCTCAGTGGAGACCCTGCTTCTCTGTCTCTCCCTGCCTGCTGTTCTCTGCCTACTTATGCTATCTCTGTCGAATAAATAAATAAAATCTTTTTAAAAATTAGGTTTTATTTTAAATGCCTTAATAATTAATATTATTATATACTTAGGTACAACACCATTATAATAATGTACACTAGAAGTATTTTCCTGAATTGGAAAACCAATTCTTATTGCTAAAAAGTTTCTTACCAAAGTCTGTCTCGTAATTTGAGCTGTGATTTCTTTGGCATCCAAGACAATTGATGATGGGAGTGATGACACCTCTGCAGCTTTTAATCCTAAAATTATAGACAATGGGCTATATGTTGTTGTTGTTATGGCAGGTATTACGTTTATTTTAAGCAGTAATAATCTTTTCTTCACAGATTTAAACTTCCATCCTACAGGCATTTATGAAGAACTTAGCCATTCTCCAAATTAAGTTTTCCAAAGTTCCGGATGACAATTTACCAATCATAAGATTTAATTAGTTGTCCAAGATGCATGACAAGTTAGAATATCAATTACCTCTCAACATATATCTGAGACAGGAAAACATGATAGGGTAAAGAAAAGGGGTAACTAGAAAACTGAATAATAACAATGAAATTCCAACTACAAATGCAGTTGGTTAATAGAAGGTTCAAAGAATATGAGCTTTGCAAGGGAGGAGAGATAACCCTAGTCACGGAGATAACCCTAAAGCTGAATATTCATCTGTCTAGCAGATCATTGAGAGGGGGATTTTTCACAAGATATAACTATAGATGACTATTCCTCATGCAATTCAAAGTACTACCTAGTATTCTCATGTTCCCTGAGCCTAATTTTGTTGTATAAATGCCACAAAGGCTTTCTACAGTGTGTTAACAGTTTATTGTATGTATTTCTTTAGAGGCAATAGAAACAACGTTAGCACATTTACTGAGAAGTTACTAATTGCTAGGTACTATATTAAACAGATGTTTGATAATTCATTTAATCTTCATAAGCCCTACATACATGGAAAATTATCCCCATGTAATAGATGAAATTAAAGCTTATAAAAATAGAGTATCTGATACAAATTAAGTTATGCAGTTGATTTCTCATTTCAAATAGCAAAACAAAGATGCTTCCCGCCCCACAGAGGGTCACATTCATAGCTAAAATTATTTTAGGAAATTTATATTTATGGATCAATTTAAAAATTTCTGAATCCATGATATTTTACACGTCATATAATGATTTAGGTAGAAAATATCTAATCAAGTTTACAAGCATCATATGGTTTGGTAATACATTCCCTTTTAAGACTTTAGATGATCAAGTTCCCTACATCTGAAGAAAACAGATGTTACTGAAAAAGTGTATAAGAAATATACAATTTTCAATTCATTTATAACTTGCAAATATAAACTAAATTACATTTTCCTCAGAATAGAAACTAATACTTCTGGGACTTTAATGTGTTGTAATTCTACGTAAGTACTGATTAATATAAATTTAAATATAAACTTAATGTACATAAAATGTGAGTTTGATATAGAAAATACAGTCTTAGAGCATAAACACTCAAAAGAACGATAGGAAAAGTTGCTTAGATTAAGAGCCAAGTAAAGGGGAAAAGAATTATGAGAATATGTAGTGTTTCAATAGATATTATATAGATATAATTTCCATATGCAATACCATAATTTTTTTCTTCTGTGAGTCCCTTACAAAGTTTGTAGGTATACAAGATTGCTTCTTTATTCCTTGAAGTGTTCTTCACATGCTGAACTTCAAAATGCATGTTTTCTACATTAGGATACAGGACCTCTATATGACACAGTTCCAGGAAATGCGTAGCAAACAGTGTAAATGCCTAGAATATATAACAATGAATGTATTTTTTAAATGAACTAGAAAAAAAATTAGTTTGATTTTCCAGGTAGCTTGGCAAAAGTGTAGGAATGAAACTAATACTGGTCAACTCATTTCAAAATATTTTGCAAATTTATATTCAATGAAAGAGACATTTTATTATGTTTACACATCACACATATGTTATATTACAAAAAAGAGAACAAATTTAAAAATAAAATCCTAAAAAAAAATCTGAAGATATTCAAAAGACGAGATTTACCAGAAATAAAGCTGCTAAGTGAGGTAATCATTTATTAGAAAAGTAATCTACAGGGACGCCTGGGTGGCTCAGTTGGTTAGGCGGCTGCCTTCGGCTCAGGTCATGATCCCAGCATCCTGGGATCGAGTCCCACATCGGGCTCCTTGCTTGGCAGGGAGCCTGCTTCTCCCTCTGCCTGCCATTCTGTCTGCCTGTGCTCGCTCTCTCTCCCTCTCTCTCTCTGATAAATAAATAAAATCTTAAAAAAAAAAAAAGAAAAGTAATCTACAAATAAAATCATAACATATCTCTCAACTTTTAAAAAAAACTTTACTTTAAAAGTAGCTTCCCTCCATATAACTATTTTTTGGAAAGTGGAATCAATGGTTTGTCTTAGGTATTCAAAATCACAAAGATTTTTAGGTTTTAGATTTGCATTGTGTTTAGGTTAGGTACTTAAAAGGAAGAAAGAAAAGGTGGAGAATAATGCTTAGGACAATGATTCTCAAACTATAGTAATCCCCTGGGGAGCTTGTTAAAGATGCAAATTCTTGGTACTTATTTTAATGTGGAATCCCAGAAAACTCCATTTTCCATAAGTATCTTAGGTATTGATGCAGAGGGTTCAAGTAATGTGACCAGCACATGGTTTCCAGTCTTGAGTTACTAAACTAGAGATTTGCATAATTGGTTATGTTTTAAGATATTACCAGAAAAAAAAAACTATAAAGATGTGATTGGTGGAAAAAGAAAGTCTTAAGACATTAAAAAGAAAATATTTGGGCTGGCAAATGGCATCAACCATTAAGGGGGTGTGACAAGAGGTATAGGACAGAAAAATGAAAAGATTCAACTACTTAATAAATCAAAAGGGGTATAAAACCAAATTTATAAAGCAACAGAAAAAATTCAGAAATTCAGTAAACTAGTAAGGACTATGTTCATAATAACATTAATGTCCTCAAAATTTATGTATCAAACAAAACTACTACACTCTACTACTAGAAATAGAGTCATTAGTATTTTTAATCAGATTAGAGGTGAGGTGGGGGCACCATGGTACAGGGACCTGAACACTAAGAGGATGCCAGTGGCTATAGGGCCCTATAGACACACCAAGCCAAGCTGCTTCAACCACGTGTAGATGGGCTTTATGATGGGCTATGCAGTGGGCATGGCAGCTGGGGTGCTCTTGGGTACTTATTTTTTGCTCAGGGTTGGAATGTGGGGTTGGGAGCTGATGGGTGGCATCAGGAAAACCATAATGCAGAGTGGTGGCATCTTTAGCACATTCACGGCCATCAGGATGGGCATCCAATACTAATTAGGGCCATAGTTGCCCACTATATCTACCCCTTCCCATTTGTCCCAACCCATGTCCTATAATAAAACAAGTCTTTGAGTTAAATAATAAAAATAAAATAAAGTAAATCTAATCAGATTAAAGAGTCAATTCCAGAAACCCCAGAACTGATTCAGAAAACTATTCGTTAAAATTCTGTTGCTCTATGGACAGCCACATGCAGAAAAAATGAAATTGGATCATTTCCTTACACCACACACGAAAATAGACTCAAAATGGATGAAGGACCTCAATGTGAGAAAGGAATCCATCAAAATCCTTGAGGAAAACACAGGCAGCAACCTCTTCAACCTCAGTCGCAGCAACTTCTTCCTAGGAATGTCGCCAAAGGCAAGGGAAGCAGGGCAAAAATGAACTATTGGGACTTCATCAAGATCAAAAGCTTTTGCACAGCAAAGGAAACAGTTAACAAAACCAAAAGACAACTGACAGAATGGGAGAAGATACTTGCAAACGACATATCAGATAAAGGGCTAGTATCCAAAATCTATTAAAAACTTATCAAACTCTACAACCAAAGAACAAATAATCCCATCAAGAAATGGGCAGAGGACATGAATAGACATTTCTGCAAAGAAGACATCCAGATGGCCAACAGACACATGAAAAAGTGCTCCACATCACTCGGCATCAGGGAAATACAAATCAAAACCACAATGAGATACCACCTCACACCAATCAGAATGGCTAAAATTAATAAGTTAGGAAGTGACAGATGCTGGCGAGGATGTGGAGAAAGGGGAACCCTCCTGCACTGTTGGTGGGAATGCAAGCTAGTGCAACCACTCCAGAAAACAGCATGGAGGTTCCTCAAAAAGTTGAAAACAGAGCTACCCTATGACCCAGCAATTGCACTACTGGGTATTTACACTAAATATACAAACAGAGTGATCCGAAGGGGCACATGCACCCGAATGTTTATAGCAGCAATATCTACAATAGCCAAACTATGGAAAGAACCTAGATGTCCATCAACAGATGAATGGATAAAGAAGACGTGGTATATATATACAATGGAATACTATGCAGCCATCAAAAGAAGTGAAATCTTGCCATTTGCGACGACGTGGATGGAACTAGAGGGTATTATGCTTAGCGAAATAAGTCAATCAGAGAAAGACAGCTCTCATATGATCTCTCTGATATGAGGAAGTGGAGATGCAACATGGGGGGTTAAGAGGGTAGGAAAAGAATAAATGAAACAAGATAGGATCGGGAGGGAGACAAACCATAAGAGACTCTTAATGTCACAAAACAAACTGAGGGTTACTGGGGGGAGGGGGGGAGGGAGAGGATGGTTGGGTTATGGACATTGGGGAGGGTATGTGCTATGGTGAGTGCTGTGAAGTGTTTAAACCTGGCGATTCACAGACCTGTACCCCTCGGGTTAATAATGTATTACATGTTTATTTAAAAAATTTTAAAAATTATTTAAAAAAATTCTGTTGCTCTAGAACCACTTTTAATACCAAAATCTGTAATAGTCAGTCTTCTCCAGAGAAATAGAATACTCTGTGTGTGTGTGTGTGTGTGTGTGTGTGTGTAGAGAGAGAGAGAAAGTGAGAGAGATTAACTATTAGGAATTGGTTCACATGATTATGGAGACTTAAGAATCTCCAGATCTGCAATCAGCAAGCTGGAGACCCAGGAGAGCTGATGCTATTATTCCAGTCTGAGTCTTTAAGACCTGAGAACTGGAGAGCAAATGGTATAGTTCCAGTCCAAATGCTGGCAGGCTCAAGATCCAGAAAAAGCTGATGTTTCAATTCTATTCTAAAGGCAGGAAAAATGACTCTAGATTGAAGGAAGTCAGATAGGAAGTAACCCTCTCACTCCCAGGAAGGTCAGCCTTTTTGTTTTATTCAGGTATTCAACTGGGATCCACGCAAAACTGATTGGATGGGAGGAACTAGAAGTCATGCAGGTAGAGCAGATGGGAGCCAGGGTGCCTATGCACACGTGAGCACTCACCTGGTATGTTCAGGCCCTGTACGGTAAGGGCAGGAAGAGGTGCGGCATTGGCCACACCCTTCTGGCAGGATGGCCCTGGCACTGAGCTGGAAGGCAGGCCCTGATTCGGGCTCTAGGCCACCACTCCCAGGCATCCACTATGACTGCATCACTGCAGAAGCAGGTAGACTTACCAGCCCCCTAGTGGGCAACTAAAGAAGGCACCTGATCCTGACCCCAAAGACTTACCCCTTGCCCTCCTCCCTCTCCTTGGTGCTGTACCTACACACAGATTGTCCACGGGCCAGTTCCCTTACCTCCCAGGTCCCAGGCTGTAGTTCCCAAACATATAGTATGCTAACAGAGGATCCTATTACCACTCATCTTTCTCCCTCAGTCCTATGATACGATCTGTAAACTCAGGTTTGAAGTCAGAGAAAACTGTGATTATCAATGGCACTGTAAGAGAGGTGAAGTATGTTAGAAGACAATCACAGACTATGTGGTTTACACAGAATCAGCCCAGAGTCTGGATTACTGGGGAAGCGTGAAGCTGCTGGACCGTGCGTGAGGCTGTCCACTCATATTTGTTATCTCTGACCAAGGGGCAGTTTGAAATTCAATATACACCATGGCTGAGGTGGACAGCCTTTATAGAGTTATTTCCTGAAATATCTGATGCTTTGGAAAGCTTTGAATCTCCTGCTATTTCTTTTAGCTTAATGAAACTGACAGCATGTCTACAACAGGCTTCGGGTGATATATTTTTACTGAACAGGAAGGAATGTCCCCCCTTTAAGAGAAAAAGAGAAAAAGAGAAAAAGGGCATGCAGCGGGGTGTGTGTTGGGGGGGAAGTAGGGGCAGAGGGAGAGGGAGAGAGCTCCAAGCAGACTCTGCCCTGAGTGTAGAGGCCATGCAGGGCTCTATCCCAGACCTTAAGATCATGACCTGAGCCAAAATCAAGTCAGATGCTCAACGAAACAGGTACCCCAAGAAACCCCCTTTTAAGAGATCTGCTTGCATCTGAGGAGCTTGCTAATACATAGCAGATATACTACGAGTCTTCATTGGATCTCCACGTGGACTCAATCTACATAACATCTTGTGGCATGGGTTTGTGTCCCCTCAAGAAATCCCTCCAAACTACTGTTCAGTAATGACACTGTTGACAGAAGGATTGGGTCAGCTGCTGAAGAGTTACCTGCAATAAACTAAACTTGCACTGGCATACTGACCTTTCCTAGCTCTTACAAACCTGGAGGATTTGGCTGTTTTCCCTGCTGCTACTTCTGAGGTACTTTCAGTAATAGAAGAAGTGATGAAGAAATACACTGTTATATTAAAAGTCATTTTCCTATACTCATTAGTCACATGAATCAAGTTCAAGCTACACAGCTTTGCCAACTGTGCCATGCTGTTATTGACATAGGTAGAGATAAGACTTAGAAGAGTTTTGCCATTAACAAATGTCCGCAAAGACTTCTGACTGCTGAGTCGCCAGCTCTTTATACCACCTGTGAGGAAATACTGGCAAAACACTTGAATAATGGTAAAAATCAAATTCCTGCAACAGAATTTCTTTGGGATTTCCTGAACCATTGGGAGAGTCTCCATAGAAGAGGTCATTTAAGCCATGGGGAAATCAACTTATCCAAATTTCCAAAAGAAGCAGCAAATCAATTGCTTGCATCTTCCATTGTGCTTTTACTCATTCATTCATCTTCATTGATGAAGATCCATTATCAAGGTTTAAGGAAAAAGCAGTAATAAAATCATTAGTAGGTCTTGCAGGCTAGAGTGTTTCCTTCCATCCAGTTTCTCAGCTTAAAAAAAAAAATGTGCTAAGCTGTGAGAAGAGCATCATAAGCATTTGGCCTCTCCTGCCTTTGCCTGAAGAAGCTGGGAAGCAGCCAGATTAGAAGGAATTCTGAAACAAATGCCTACAGCTCTTTAAATACAAAAATCATGTACGAGTTGCATTACCACATGTCTGAGAATCACTGTGCTGTTAGTGACTTGGACAGTCTTCCTGCTGAGAAGTGGCCCAGGTAATCTATGAACTCTGTGGCACCACCATCCTAACTGTTTTCAGTTCTAGAACCATTCTGGAAGTGCTCATCATGCTTTGAAACATCAGCACACACGGCACACCATGTTCAGTCAAGTTACTGCCTCCACAGAATTGAGACATCAGCAGTGGATAGAAAGAAGGTTGTGTTCCAGGCAAAAGAAGTAATATTAAGCTTCTGTATCCTGTGCTTTGCCCAATTTTATCGCTGATTGCAACATTCATGTGGTTCATGGAAAAAATTCTTAAGAGTATCTAAAGTTCTTAAAGCTGTTCTTACAGTACATGGAGAACCTGGTGGCTTACACCAACCAACAGAACAAATGGAACAAAACTATCAATCTTACATGGACAGCCTTGTTGAAAATTTGACCTTTAGTGAGAAGAAATAAATGTTAATACATTTAGCCAAGAAATCCACAAGTAAAGGTGTCTTGTGAAAATACTTAATAAGTCAAGAACGTTTTTGGCTACATCAAAAAACTCAGGCTGAACAGGCTTTACCAACATGGAAATTGAAAATCCAATGGCAGGGTGGATTCCAAGGTCTGTTTGACTAAGGATCAAGTTCTGTTTCTCTATAGCCTTCTCATTTGCTGTTCCTGAGTTTGTGTGAACCTCCCGTTGCATGCCCTCCTGGAACCAAGTGGCCACAGCATCTTGGTCCCTCCACCATGACACAGTGTCCAGAGGAGGGGGAACTTTTTACCCAGATGTCACCCAGAAATCTCTTGGAAACTGTCACTGTGGCCAGGACCCTCCTCCTATACTCACTGGCCAGACTGGGTAGGCATCCACTCCTGAGCCATCACTGAGGCACGGAGAAAAAGCTTGAGTCAGTCTGCCCTCATCCCTGGAGCTGAGAATAAGGTTGGATGATCCAGATCCCATGGGACAGAGCTGAAGAGGAACAGCTCCTGGAAGGTATGGTGGTCAGATGTGGTATCAGGCAGCAGGTTTGCTGGTCCGTTTGTAGCCAGGAAAACAGGAGCCATGGCATGTGTCTGGGTATGGAGGGTTTTGTAAAGGAGCAGGGAAAGCTGGTGGAGCAAGGGTCAGGGTTGCAGCTATACCAGTACACCTCGGAGAGCCAAAATCTGCAATTCTCAAGAGCTCAATGGGCCACTGCAATTGTCTGGAACAGCTGGAAAGCCCCTGACATCTCTCTCAGGGGGCAGGAGCACAGCCAGAAGCTCTCAGGAACCCCTCTGAGGCTGTCCTGCACCCCAGGTCTGTGTATGCGCTAGGCTGCACACAGTGAATTATAGCCCCTTCACTTTCCAAACCTCCCTGGCAGGTTCTAGCCCACAGCTCTCCAAGGAAGGCCATTCACCGTATGTGTTTCTGGCTTCTCTGCTGTCAGAGAATAGTGCCAAGGAGACCTCAAAGGAAAGGAGTGGTTCTATGCAATGATGGACATTCTAGCTCACTCTATCCATCCCTTTGCCAACTCAACACCCACCGCCCCTTTTAAACTAAACTGTTATGCAAAAACAGAGCACTAAGCTTTTGCCGCTGTGATATAGACTTCTCTCTTCCAAGTGTAGACCCCAGTTCTCATATGTTGTGTTTCTGCTCCTGGGACATTTTCTTTTGTAGTGTCTCCTTTGCACTCTAATTTAAATGATGATTTATAGGATTAACTACTCTTAACCCTCCTTATGTTAGAGCTGGGATGGAACAGAGGAAATAAAAAGAACTGGTATTTACCAAGCCCATGAAAAAAAGCAAACAAAAAACATACAAAAAAACGGACTGGATGGGACCCACTCACTCTAGGGAGGGTCTACCAGTTCAAATACAAATCTCATTCAGAAACCCTGATAGATACACCCAAAATCTTACTTGACAAAATGTCCAGTACTCTGTAGTACAGTCAGGCTGACATACAAAATTAACCATCACAGCCACTAATTAGATTTTAATCCTAACACTTAATACATATATCTTTTTTTAAAATTTTTTATTTTTTATAAACATATAATATATTTTTATCCCCAGGGGTACAGGTCTGTGAATCGCCAGGTTTACACACTTCATAGCACTCACCATAGCACATACCCTCCCCAATGTCCATAACCCCACCCCCCCTCTCCTAACCCCCTTCCCCCCAGCAACCCTCAGTTTGTTTTGTGAGATTAAGAGTCACTTATGGTTTGTCTCCCTCCCAATCCCATCTTGTTTCATTTATTCTTCTCCTACCCCCTTAACCACTCCATGTTGCATCTCCACTTCCTCATATATCTTATTTTTATGAGAAATTCTGATCAACTGACACAGATCAACTGACATAGATTCACTATTACAAAGACTAATGTTATCTCTTAATATTACTTTTGATTTATCACATATCTATCACAAAAATAAAATTTTTCTCATTCTTTATAAATCATTATAGACTCTCACTTAAGGTAAAGAGGATCATCTTAGGGATATTTCAAGGTACTTTTTATTTTTTAAGATTTTATTTATTTATTTGACAGAGATCACAAGTAGGGAGAGAGGCAGGCAGAGAGAGAGTGGGGAAGCAGGCTCCCTGCTGAGCAGACAGCCCAATGTGGGGCTCAATCCCAGGGCCCTATTTCAAAGTACTTTAAATATGGAAAAAAATTTTAAGTTTTTTCACACCTGCATATATTCTGAGAGATTATCTAAAAAGATATTTTACAAATCAGCTTAATAAAACAGCAAAAATCATAGTCTCTTTTACTTGACTTGTGAAAACCTGTTTTCTTTAAAGGAATGAATCTTAGGTGGGTAAGTAAAATAATTTTCCACAAAGTGACCTCAGATGTCTAGTTTTTCACTTCATGTTGTAACATCATAGTCAATGTTATTATCTATGGAGACAATTATTGAAATGCTTTCATGTTTTGCCTTTTAATTTGATTAAATTAAAGCCAAGTGACTAGTCTTGATATTATTTGTATTTCTTGATTTCCTACTTTAGCTGTCTACATGGCTATCATACTAGCTGTTCCTGCAGCTAACAAAAATATAAATACTATGGTATACTTTTATTACCTAAAATTGTTGAAAGAACTATTATTAGGTGCCAATAAAATCCAATCAAGATAAATATATAAAGGATACATGAAGGGGGCGCCTGCATAGCTCAGTTAGTTGAACACTAGACTCTTGGTTTCCACTTAGCTCATGATCTCACAGTTGTGAAATCAAGCCCCATATATACATTCTGTGCTCCGTGGGGAGTCTGCAGGAAATTTCTCTCTCCCTCTCCCTTTCCCTCTGCTCCTCCTCCTGCTCAGGGATGTGTGAGCTCTCTCTTGCTCTCTCTTTCTCAAATAAATAAATCTTTTTTTAAAAAGGGCTCAAAATCAATACAGTTAAAAGAAACAGAGAAGAATACCTTTAAGCTCAGCAGATATTCACAGACAGCATAACAAATGCCAATACCTTCTTCTGTATTAGTACCTCTGCCAAGTTCATCAATTAATATGAGTGATTTGTTATTAGCATTATGTAGAATGTAAGCTATCTGAAAAATATAATTTTAATATTATTCATTATAACCAAACAGCTGTCACTACCAACTTAAAAAATGAGGAAAAATCCAGTCTCTTAATTACTTCATCTGAAACTTATTTTTATAAAGCTATCCAGCTAGGTAGAAACTAGCACATTGCTTTTCTTTAAAAAATCTCACGACTAATAATTTCAATAGAACAGCTTGATATGTATGTAATAGACACATGTGTATGAGACAACAAAGAGTAAATAACCATTATCTAAAATATTAATGTTTTAGATACAGTGTAATAAAATTAAGCAATGAATTAAATGTTTAAATAATGCACAAAGATTGTCATTTTCTTCTCCACAAATGACTAATCAATTGTCATATTACACTCAAAACTATTTCTCAAGTTTATTTTAACATCTCAATAGCCAGTAAAGAAAGAAAAATTGAGGAAAAAGTATCCAAATCCATTGATTCCTATTTAAACAAGTAAATATAAATCCATACTCAACAAAGACCAAGACTTTAATTGACAGAAATGTTCCTTTGCCACTGAAGAGTATTAACTTCTTTCTCAAAAAATTGTAATTACACCCGTTATGTACTCACACAATAGTAAATTTCATGACTTTTTACCTTTCTATATGACTAAGCTTCTTGAGATCTGGGATCATTTAAAAATATACCTTGAGCACCTAGTACATTGCTATATTCTCCCACAGCTACCCCAGTACACCTCAGAGAGCCAAAATCTGCAATACATACTAAATAATTATGTAAAAGTCACATATGGTAGCACAAATAAAAACTCTTCTCGCCCTTTTACAAAAAGTTATCCAACTCCACAGTGATCCATTAATTCCTACCTACTGAAGACAGCCCAAGAGCTATATTCAATACATTTAGTCCTTCAAGTCTATTTCATATTTGCTCAGATCAGAAAAAGGTGATGACACATACTTTGTTATACAAAGTGAAGATTCTAAAGGGGCACACAAGAGGGTGATTTTTAAAAGCATTCTAACACAGTGATATATTATTTTAAAATCAAACCTAACAGGAACAATAGATACAGCGCAATGGTCCTGAACAGGTCATTGTTTTCTCAAAGTCTTTTATATATCCCATACAAAAACATGAAAGCATGTTTTTTTGTTCAATAATACTAGCTTTTTCCTTAAAACTGTATTTTTCAATAAAACCATCTCTTCCATTTCCACATAAGAAAGAAATTAGAAGCTGTCTTTGACTGCCCTCTGGCTCTTATAGAGGAACATAAGCACATTTGCATGTTTTAATATAAGGATACTTTCTTACGTAATAATTGACCATTTGTGGAGGAATTTAACGTGTATTTTACATAAGGAAAAGTTTAGTTTGGGTACCTCTTTCATTTCCTTCATGAATGTTGATGAATTTGTTTCAATTTCATCATCAGTACTGATTCTTGTAAAAATCTGTTCAGCAATTCTAAAGGAAGAATATTCTGCTGGAACATATGATCCTGTAAAATAAAAGGTCAATGTAAACTGAAATGCTTTTATAAAATATAAGTACTAATATTTTGTACTTCTCACCAATTTAGATTATTTATTAGCCTTGCTAAGGCTAATAAATAATAGTGGAAAGATCACTGGATATACAGTCAGACAACATGGCGCCAGCTCTGTCACTTATCATATATCCTTGGGCAGTAATTAGATCTCCCAGTCTCATCTTTCTCACATATAAATGGAAATACTTGAATTTACTATTGTACAAAGTTATCTGGAAGTTCAAGTAAGACATTATAAATCCAAGTACGTTAGAAAGATTTACTATAAACATCACAAAAATGTTAAATAATATGGTTAGATAAAAAACTCAAAATAGGAAAATTTGAAGGAAATGCTCATGAAGCTCAAGTTGATAAAACTGTTACAGAATGATGTATTAGGAAATATCTATTAGAAATGTGTAGAAAATGTGCTATGGTGAGTGCTGTGAAGTGTGTAAACATGGCGATTCACAGACCTGTACCCCTGGGGCTAATAATACATTATATGTTTATAAAAAATTTTTAAAAATTATAAAAAAAAATAAATGTGTAGAAATACTCAGAATTAGAATGAAAGCAAAACACTGAATTTTTTTAAAAGGTGAGTTTTCATCTCTGAGGATTTTTCTGCTTGAGAAGTTATCATACTAAATAATCTAAAATATTCACCTTTTGAAAGCAAATCAATCTGATTAATACAACTATCTCTATATGGAATGGGACATAAAAGGCATTCTAAAATCATACAGATAAAAATATACAAAGAGTTGAATGGGAAAATTATCAATCATAGAGAACAAAATGGTGAAATAATGGGAATAAAGGAAACAAACCCCTGATTATTCCAGGATTTAAAACCAAGATAAGGATGAAGAGTAACATCAACATCTAAGGAAATAGCAGGAAAAGAAAGCAAAAGTCAGGATAATGTTAACAAAAATAAAAGTAACAATAATAGCAATAGTAACCTCACAAACAGATCTCTTAAATACAACTTTCTCACAGGATTTCTGGAAGGATTAAATGGGAAAATAAATGTGAAAGTAGCAAGGAGAGGATATAGCATATATGGTAGATGTTCGTACTTATTCTTTAGTTCATTTGTATTTACCACCACCAAAAAGGCCCTCTGACATTTTTAAATCTAAAAATTATTACAGAAGCACCCCCCCACTCCCCCACACACTGATATTTTGCTTCTGGTCTGGCTCTCCTCTAACAATATATCAGCCAGAATGATCTATGTGAAAGGCAAATACAATCATGTGATTCTCTTACTTAAATTTCAATAGCTCCCTACAGATGTTTGGATAAAGTTTATAACTCTTCAGTGAAGTACCTAAGGCCCTTCATGATCTGGCTTTTGCCCACGTCTCTGGCTTCAGACACTGTTTGCTCTACAAAGGAATCTGGACTTCTTGTACTTCTGTGGGCACATCACACTGGGGTTTTTTTGGTTTGTCTTTGTTTGTTTTTGCTTTAGAATATGTTCTTACAGACTCTAAATGTCACAAAACAAACTGAGGGTGGCGGGGTAAGGAGAGGGTGGTGGAGTTATGGACATTGGGGAGGGTATGTGCTATGGTGAGTGTTGTGAAGTGTGTAAACATGGCGATTCACAGACCTGTACCCCTGGGGCTAATAATACATTATATGTTTATAAAAAATTTTTAAAATTATTTTAAAAAAAAGAGTATGTTCTTACCTCTGCCTGGAAAATCTCCTTCTTTCCTATACCCTTCCCTACATTCATAGTATTTTATATAATTATCTCACTTAATCATTTTTTTAAAAAGATTTCATTTATTTATTTATTTGACAGAGAGAGACACACAGCGAGAGAGGAACACAGGCAGGGGGAGTAGGAGAGGGAGAAGCAGGCTTCCCACTGAGCAGGGAGCAAGATGCAGCTTGATGGGGGGCTTGATCCCAGGATCCTGGGATCATGACCTGAGCCAAAGAGCACCTTATCTCACTGTCTTTACAACAATTCTTAGAATTGGGTACTATTATAATTTTCATTTACAGATAAGAACACCAAGGAAGTTATTTGCCTTAGGTCACAGAGCTAGTAACTAGACAAACAAGGTCTAGCTCCAAAGCCTATGGTCTTAATTTCCATGCCTTTCAAATTCTACTGTTTCCTTTATGATCACATTATGTGAGATAATGTATATACTTTTAGGTATTTTAAAAGTTTAAAATGAGTGACAAGAGAAGTAGAATAATTTTCTCCGAATATTTGAGAGGCTATTATCAAAAGAGATTTAGGTTATTCTGTGATGCATAGAAGATAAAAATTAGGACTATTGAGTAGAAGTTATAGAAGGTCAGATTTCAAGTCAGTATAATGAATGCTCTAACAATTACAGATGTCCAACAATTGCATAGCTTGTTTTTTTTTTTAAAGGACAGACCTCCTTATAACTATTAAAATAGAAATAAGATTATTATCACATATTAATCAGTTTCTTTATAAGAGGAGGGAAATTAGATGTCCTTTTCATTCCAATACAACTATAAACCCAATAAAATAGTTACTCTTCACCCATTCACCTCTGATTTTCTTTCCCAGTAGTAAGGGTAAATCTGCACTGTATCACCAATATTATTATTGTTGGATTCCACTTACAATTTATTACATTAGGTCAGGGTTTCTCAACCACCACACTACTAACAACCTGGGCTAGATAATCTTTCTTACATATGTCAGAGGGGAGGAGTAATGTCTTGTGCATTGTAGGATGTTCAGCAACATCTCTGGACTCTATACTTCCCTCAGCGTTAAGAACGAAAAATGTCTCCAGACATTGCCAAGTTTGGGGGCCAAGAGTGCAGTGGGGGAGGAACCAAAATCATCCCTGTTTGAGAACCACTGCATTAGAACAAATCATCTCATTTCTGATTCATAGAGTTCTCAAGGAAACCTTGTTTTCAGAGCTAAGTTATACCCCTACACCAAGAAATACATGACATTGTGGTGCCAATGACAGCTAATTCAATGTGTACGTATGCACACATAATGTGTATCAAGTGCTGTGCCCAAGTTACTGGTAGCCCTTAAATTAAGTAAAAGATGTTTCTTTCCCCAATGTTATAATTTGGAAAAATCTTAAATGAGTTATTAAAGGCAGCAGCTTATTCTACTTATTTTACTTTTTCTCACAACAAAGTTTGGTTTTGTATCAGAAATAAAGATATGATTCAGTTTAGTAAAAACTGATACAACATTAACAGTTATAGTAAGGTAGTTTTTACTTCTGTTACATCCTATAAAATTTTTAGTACAATGCAATCCAAATTGGATGGAGCTTAATCTACCAAATAGTAAAAGTTATGATCTACATAATAGACACTATTATATTTTTAGGTAAGAAAACCTACTCCAAACTAATTAAGGCACCTGGATCTAAAATATTAGGCACAAAGCATTTTATTTTTTTTTAAAGATTTTATTTATTTATTTGACAGACAGAGATCACAAGTAGGCAGAGAGGCAGGCAGAGAGAGAGAGGAGGAAGCAGGCTCCCTGAGGAGCAGAGAGCCCGATGTGGGACTCGATCCCAGAACCCTGAGATCATGACCTGAGCCGAAGGCAGAGGCTTAACCCACTGAGCCACCCAGGTGCCCGGCACAAAGCATTTTAAATGGGAAACAGAATTGCTAAGTATGAAGTAAAGCCATAACTTACCAATCTGGGCCATAATCTGACAAAGGGCAATCTGTTTTAAATATGTGGATTTCCCACTCATATTAGGTCCAGTTATGATCAAAAAATTACTTCCTTCTGTAATATAAGTATTGTTGGTGATAGGTTTTTCCACAGATATTTTTTCAAGAATGGGATGCCATCCCTGTTTGATTGCTAAAGTATCAGTAAATTCTGGCCGAACTAAAAAAAAAAAAAAAAAAAGAATGGTTTCATAAGATTAATATATTTATGTTTAATGGTCTGTGTGGTGTGTATGTGTGATTTTACTATGGTCAATTTGGGACAAAGCATTAAGGTACTATTTTATCTTAAATCTCTACCAAAATTCCTCTAGATTGTAACTGACACATTCTAATCACCATCACAACTTTTATTCACTTCCAGGGAACCCTAGGATTTAGTTCTTTGTCATTGTCCTGAGCTCCAAAATAGTCTGTGTAACATTTCCAGATTTATATAGATTAAAAAGAGTCAACTAGCCATTGATAATACCTTTTTTTTTAAAATTTTATTTATTTATTTGACATAGAGAGAGAGAAAGAAAGAAAGAAAGAAAGAAAGAAAGAAAGAAAGAGTGGGCATAAGCAGGGGGAGCAGAAGAGGGAGAAGCAGGCTTCCTTCCAAGCAGGGAGCCCGATGTGGGGCTTGATCCCAGGACTCTGGGATGAATGACCTGAGCTGAAGGCAGCCGTTTAACTGACTGAGCCACCCAGGCACCCTGATAATACTTTTTTTTTTTTTTTTTTTTTTTGAGAGAAAGAGAGAGTGTGAAGTGAGGGCGGGGGGTGGGCAGAAGGAGAATCTCAAGCAGACTCCCCACTGATTGTGGAGCCCAACATGGGACTCAATCTTATGACCATAGGATCATGGTCTGAGCTGAAATCAAGAGTCAGACGCTTAACAACTGAACCACCCAGGCATCCTGATAATACTTTTAAAATAACAATTAATTACCAGTACTACAAAATTGCACATTTACTTAATTCCCATCTTAGACTTTTTTTCAAATTTGGCATACTTAGCTTTTCAAGTGGTGTATGGATATAAGATAGAACCAAATGTAAATATAATTTTATGTCCAGAAACTTACAGAAATTTTGTCTAAAAAGAATACCCAGATGATAGGCAAAACAGATACAAAATATATTAATTTATAGAAATAAATAAAGATCAGGTTTCTATGAATACCTTCCAAGGTAAAGGGAGGAAGACAGGACATGGGGACAAGGAAACACTAAATTCCTATATGCTTCTAAAAAAAAAAAAAAAATCCTATATGCTTCTACAGGAAACACATGGATAAACTCAAAAGCATTCATTATAAGAGAGAGAGGTTGGTTAGAAAATAATTTTTAAACTACTTTAAAAGTATTTTTAACACCAGAAGTTATTATTTATAAGTCTGGAGTTTCAGGATGATCCCTCTCAAATTAAAATGGAGCAACATCAAATATCTTAATAGCTAAGAAAACTATTAAAAATATATGATATAATCCCTGATCTTAAGATGCTCACATCTAAAGAGCTAGTTTAGAAAATGTTCACTTGGAGATTCACTTCTCTCATCTGCTTCTGTCACACTGCTTCTCAGGAGTAATCAGACTTGAACTTTATCAGTTTGCATCATTGTTATTTCCACCAAGGAGGAAGATTTTCAGTCTTTCCTATTTGGGGAAACTTTCAAGTTTCTTGCAGTATTTTCTTTCTCACTTGTCAATTTCTCAGTAAGCAATTTTCTTACTTTTAAAATAAAATTTAAGAGTAATTTTACTTCCTCTACTTTAAGTCTTAGTCTAAGACCATAGGCAAGAGACTATATTTCAGGTAAAAAAATAAAGCATTCATAATTGTTATATAAAATTGCTTGGATGGAATACAAATTTCAGTACACAACATATTTATTCCAAAGAAAGTAACTTACCATAGTCAGAAAGAGTGCAGGCATGAGCAAATGATAGTAGCATATCCAGCATTGACACAGTATCAGATAGTTTATATAAGCAATGAATATGTTCATAAATCTCACTAAGCAGTTTGCACACTATCCTGAAAGTATACATTTGGAAGTCAGGTATTGACTTTAAAGAGGGACATACAATATAATTGTAAAACAATATCAAATGTATTGCCTAAGGTAAAATACCATTCACAGTTCAGTTGTATTCCACAGGTAAATCTATTGTTCTTTTGCCTCATTTTAGAGATTAGGAAATTGAATTTCCTTGAGTTCAAGGAATTTGTAACAAAAATGCATCTTCTGGTATGTTAACATCATGTTTTAGAAATGACTGCTGTTATTAAATACTAATAAAACTAATTTTCATTAATAAAATTATTTTATAGGTCAAACATCACCTTAATATACTTCAACAGACCCCACCTGCTAATTATTTTGTGTTTTTTGTAAATGTTAAATTCAACAGAAAAGTTACTATATTCTCTCTCTTTCATAACACACACACACACACACACACACACGCACACCCTAACAACGTAATTATTTAAGCTTTTATGTAGCTGAGGTGTCACACTGTGACATAATATAAAAGGTTTTCCTTGGAGCACCTGGCTGGCTCTCTTGGTAGAATATGTGACTCTTGGTCCAGTTATGAGTTCAAGAAAAAGAGTGTAGAGATTACTTAAAAAAAAAAAAAAACTTAAGGGGTGCCCTGGTGGCTCAGCTGGTTAAGCATCTGACTCTTGATACTAGCTCAAGGTCTTGGTTTTTCCCTTACGAGGAGAAATATGTTCCCCAAACCTATTAGATCTCATAATCTCTGTGGTCTATGCCCTGAAATTGTTTTGAAAGTCCAACATTTGTCTTTATGATCTCAGCACATTGATTATGAATGATCATTTTTTATTTTGCTAGGCCCTCCCTCACCCCACTCATGAATGATCTATTCTTATTTCCAGCTGTACTGAGACTGTTTCATGATCAGCAAAAGACTGGCACTATTGTTATTTTATATATGTATACGTACATAAATGAAGTTCAGGGCTTGCATACCATAAGAAATGAATAACTGAATGAAGCCCAAGATAAGCCCATCATGTGCCAAATTCTACATCATGGTAGAATGCGTACTATGGAAGTATTAAGTATAATGATTGTTTTTGTTTTTGCAATTGATTTGCCCTGAATCTTCTGTAAGGCTGAGCAATCCCAATCGCAATGACAGACTTTAAAAGTTTTAACTGTTCTTCCAGGAAATGTTCTTTCTTTGCTAACAATTGTAATTTTATAATTTTCTACTATCAAACAAAAAGTCAATTAATGAAAATTTATTATAATGCTTTAAGTTGAACCAATATTCAAAAATTTCAAATGGGCTTACATATAAGTCATATGATAGATTTCTCTCAAAGATTCTTGACATCTTTCATTCATTTTAATTAAGTCTGCTGATGTAAAGGTATAAGAACTTTTCACTTTAGATATCTGCTAGGAAATTAATAAACAAAATTTAAAAACTATCAAGATGTGTATACACTCCTATAAAATAAAACATACAGATTTTAAACAGTATAGATATTTAGGTTAATTAATTTTGGAGATAAAGCATCACAAATAAAGTCTCAAATAATGTCTGCAAAAAAGAAAAGAACACTTCTAAAGTTAAAGCACTTAAAATTAACCTACAGTATTTTGGCACAACTATTTGAACAGGTCTTAAAATAGCTCTGCAGAAATGTCAGACAGTACATCTTATTACCCAGTAATATGCATGACAGATATCAGTAATTTTCACTCCATCTCTGACCCATCTTAGGCCTTGCCCCATATCTAAACCTCACTCAATTTCTAATCCCATTACCATATCTCAACCAATTCTTTGTTTTTTCTATCCCCCATTACCTGTTAATACAGTGTGTATTTAAAAACCCTAAAAGTTAAATGGTTTGTTTTTGTCAGAAGGTGCCCCCTGAGAGCACAGAAAACAAAATTAGAGTGGGTTAGATTTTTCCCAAACTGGTATATCATGAAGATGTGAGTATGTATTTAAGAAAAAATATTTCCCTGGTTCAAAGGTATGGTAATATTGGATTTTAAAAAGTTAGCAGATTTATTCCAGGATTTTTAAACCTTTAATAAGCAAATGTGCATTGAGAACTACCTAAGACAGGAGATGGTACAATATTTTCCAAATTCCTTTGATCAAAATAACTTTTGGACTTTTTTTATTTCCTTTTTTTTATACATACCAAGCTTCCAGAACTGTGGGATGCACTGTTTGGTGTTTCCCCCCAAAATAAGAAAATTAGAAGTTTCTAACTCAACTCTTACATTAGTATAACTGTTAGATTGACAGGAATAGGAAAGCAATATACAGAACATTTGAAAAATTTGGCATGTAAAATTCAAAGAATGTCTGAAAAAATGTAAAATGTATTTCAGAAAAAATAATTTCCAAACCAAAACTCTAAAATGAACCTTAATAAATTCTGAAGGAAGTCGATTATTGGGTAGAGCTGTATAGTCGGTAGTCATCTGAATGAAAAATCCTCGAGCAGAGCTAAAACTTGTCCTTAAAGGAAGACTATATTTTTCTGCAAGCTGTGATATCATTCCTAATGACCAGAAACAAGAAAAACAGAAAGAATTTTAATGAGAACATTACTGTTTTTAAAAAATCACTTTTTTGTTTTTTTTATATGTAAATAGGAAGGTCTTGCTACTCTTTTAAACTGTAAATATTTTTTTCTTTATTTTCACATTTTTAACTTTATTTTCTTTTTTTCAGCATTCCAGTATTCATTGTTTGTGCACCACACCCACTGCTCCATGCAATACGTGCCCTCCTTAATACCCACCACCAGGCTCACCTAACTGCCCACCCCCCTCCCTTCCAAAACCCTCAGTTTGTTTCTCAGAGTCCACAGTCTCTCATGCTTCATCTCCCCCTCCAATTTCCCCCAACTCCTTTCTCCTCTCCTTCTCTCAATGTCCTCTGTGTTACTCCTTATGCTCCACAAGTAAGTGAAGCCATTATGATAATTGACTCTCTCTGCTTGACTTATTTCACTCAGCATAATCTCTTCCAGTCCCGTCCATGTTGATACAAAAGTTGGGTATTCATCCTTTCTGATGGAGGCATAATACTCCAC